ATGGTGGTATAAAAGAAACGAATTATTCCTAAATGTGTAATAAATGTCGATGGTGCTATTTTAGGACAAGTACAGACATTTAAGTATCTGGGCACATGGATAACATGAGATGGAAGATGCATAACTGAGATAAGAAACAGAATAGGACAGGCAAAAACTGCATTTTATAAAATGAAAAACATCTTGTGCAATATATCCTTGTCATTGAGATTTAGAAAAAGAATTCTTGCTTGCTACATACATCCAGTTGTTAACATATGCCTGTGAATCCTGGACAATCGGTAGGCAGGCCAAACAATTTCATGAGGCTTCAGAGTTGTGGTTTTACAGAAAAATGCTTAGAATACCTAGGACAGCCAAAAAGAGCAACAAAGAGGTTTTGAAAGAGGATGGAGCCTGAAGACACCTTATCACAGACATCAGAAACAGACATTCATCATTTTTCGGCCATGTTATGAGAAGAGGGAAAATAGAACATGTTGTGGCCACTGAAAAGATCTGTGGAAGGGGGATAGAGGAAGACAACGAGAGAAGATGCTTGACAGTCTTGTTGCATGGCATGGAGGTGTGTCGGCACACGAACTGATACATGCTGCAGGAGATTGTGGATTATGGAGCGGCATGATCGCCCACGCCATTCGGCAAGGCACCTGATGATGATAGTGATGATGATGATGATGACTTGTGGAAATGTAATGATCGGGAATTCTAGTGATGATTACTACAAATAATCGGGAAGTTTCATGAAGACACACAATCGGGAAAATCCGATAGGCGGTAAGTTTTCAAGGCTTCAGGTGGGCTGTGAAACAAACAGGGAAGTAGGTGCTTTGCTAGAAGAAGAAAAAAACGACCCGTTCAACCAGCATCCCAGAAGAAGAGCTTTAGGTTATAATTGTGACTAGGTTATGTGTGCCATATGAAATGGCATAGTATTGCACACCACCAAGAGCCAAGAAAAGGACTCTTGCAGTGTTGAATGTTGAATTAAGAATCGACACCAGAGCATTAGGGACACCACCATAAGCGCTCCGTCCCTATCTTCAGCAGCAGGCAAAAAGTTACAGTTCAGTTGGTACCAGTAACTGTAAATCCGTCTCGCCCTTCCCTTGAGTGCTGAGCGTCGGCCAGATTCCCTGTTAATTCCCCGCAGCGCCATTCTCCTCAGACTGTAATGATCTACGTGTGCCTGTTCACGCGCACCCAAAGGACCCTCACAGCGTCCAGCTTGTCATACATCAGTTCACCACCAAAATGGTGCAGAACCGGCCAGTCTATCTGCATGCTAATTTGCAAACACGGGTATAACCTGAAGGAAATATCCAAAGGAAGCTAACTACCCGGGACCTTTGAAGTGATGCTTGCCACTCTGCACGAAGCATGCCTGTCTCCACCTCTCTCAACATGCTCTGTGAGTCAGTTACAGTCACGGCATGTGTGTACAGCTGATTCTCGAACCAGTGGAAGGCAGCAGTGACTGCCTCCAGCTTATTCTCAAATTAGACGTTGTTATATCATATGCTAGACTTTGTTGCACTACGCGACGTCCATTTGACTTTGCTCTGAACTCCCATGCCCCTAATACAGAGCCATCTGCATAGACAGTCACATCAACTGGGCGGGAATTGTCACGAATCATTTTTTGGACCTCTGATTAGGCAGTATCACCTGGCCAGTCTCTGCCCTCACTACTTAGAGTGAAAAGAACCCTACACAAGTCTGAAACTTGCTAGGACACTGACCCGCTTCTCTCCTCGTCCAAATTTATCAAGCCTGCACACATGCCCTACAGTGCTGATGAGATCAAAGGAGACAGACTCTAATATTGTGTAAAGTTATCTACGGGAGAGCCGGGCGACCCGGTCCCCGATGTGACGTTTAGAAGCTGCACGGGAATTTCCGAACTAATCGTCCGGCTTATAAATACCTATGATCCACCCGGATTTGCAGAAACGATAAACAGCCATATTGGAAAGGCCCTGAAGCTACAGGTGAGACGTATCGATCATCTTGTGTTTATAGAGGCTTATCTATGCAGATGTTTTGATTACTATGTGATGATTACAGGCGTACAAGATTTCTTTGCATGGATTTCGGTGTAAGTAAAACTAAATTAAACTAAATGTGTTCCCGCTTAAAATATAAAATAAAGGGGAAGTTGGCTGCGTTGACAAAGAGATATCTGTCCTTTAGGTGCCTCTCATCCGATTTCAGCAAAACCTTAATCAGTAGCTTTAACGACGTACTTTTAAAGATGAGTTAGCGTATATGACTTAGGCTTTGCAAAAGCGTTTCGTAGTTCTTTCTTCGGGCTCTGGGAGATGGGAGCCTTTTGACAGCAGACCGGCCTATGTGCTTTGGTCTGAACTATGTTATCGAGAGTCGAGGTGGCAAACTACTACTACTTTTTAAATTTAATGACTCGTTGCATTGGTAATGAATCGTGTGTATCCACAACTTTTTGTCTCGTGTACTTTGAAACAGTTCTCACATAGGAAAATACTCCATGTCACGATGTCGAACTGTCCAGCATCATTTCTCATGGTCTCCCTCCGTTTCTCTTTACCTCCAACTTTTCAACCTTATGATGTACTCTGATTTTCTTCTTTTCGGGATATGACCAAAGAATGTAGATTGCTTCCCTCTGGTATGGGCAATCAGTTCTTTTTGTGGGTCATTTTCTTTCAGGGATCTTTATTACGCTTTTCAACTAAACAAAGTGGCAGAACACTGAATGTCAGAGAAATGGCAAACAGCAAAACAAAAATGATATAAGTTCTTCATAGATGGAAAACTGCTACCCATATGAAAAATGTAAGTAGATGTTTCTACACCTGTACGTACACCATACTTTTTTAAACACCAGTTGGTACCTATTGGACAATGGTCTGTGTTACAGTGGTCGACATTACTTTTTCGGAAATTTCCAAAGCCGACCCGGAAGTCCATGTCAGTTTTTTAAACCACAGTAGGAAGTTATAGTTAGTTTCTAGTTAAACCAGAGGTTGGACTAAGTCGTCACCGTTTATGTCCAGGTCGAATCACAAGTGATCGCCACTGTCCAAAGTCAAGTCTCAAATTACCAAGGATGCTTCTAAGACAAGTCCCGTGTCAAGCCACTTTATGTATCAAGTCATTTGCAAGTTGTGCCAGGGACGCTTTAACACAAAAACCACAGGATATTAACCTAAATGTTGTTTGTTTCTCCGTGTGGGTTCTAGGGCCCTGTTGGGAGAAAAACAAAAGTAGAACCGCTGCCCCTCTAACAAGCATGTGGTAGAAGTCGACTAATTAGGGGCATCTGCCTAAAAGTCGAAGCGCATCTGCCCGAGAGGCAAGGGACCAAATCTCATACAAATAAGCCAGGTCTATAAAACAGATATGGACACAAAGGTTCTGGAACAAGAATTGAGTCCACAGTGGACTAACAACCAAAACTTCCCTCTAGAGTCTGAACTTGTGAACGCGAAGAAGAAGAAGATGGTTTGTTTTATCTGTGTACTGCCATATCGTGCAACACAATCTAAAGTTCTTATGGCCAGTAATCTAATTATGTTTACGTTATTTTTAACCTTGTCATGTGTTTCCTGATGTCTTTCAGGATATGACCATTGGATCATTTCTGTCCAGCTTCTTCCTCTTCTTGTGTCTTACTGTTTATGCCTTAGCGACGCAGAGAGGAGTTAGATGTAGTTTTCTGTCTGTTGACAGTTGCGTAGCTTGTATTAGTGTCGTACTGCGTTTCTGTAGTGTCTCTTTTAATCTATCCAGCCATGTCTTTCTTGGTCGGCCTCTTGCCTTGTAGCCTGCTGTTCTTGTGTAGTAAGCTCTAGCTGCTGGCTGATTGTATTCCATTCTGACCACATGACCAAACCATTCAATTCGTTGATGTTCTGTGAAATTATTTACCATTGTTCTTAGTTCTTGGTTGTTGGTAACTCACTTTCTTCTTTTTTTTTTCCCCCGCAGCATTTTGTAAACATCTCATCTCACACATTGTGATTCTGCGTTTACATTTTTCTAGAACTGTCCATGGCTGACATGATAGCACGCATCTTTTCATCATCGCATGATAATGACACATCTAAGATGTATTTATTTCTTTTTTTTCAACAGATTTAAGAACAGAGCTATCGTCTACACCTTCTTGTCTACAGACAACAAACACATGTGTCGAAAAAAAACAAATGTAACAATGAAACCACATTTTAATCTTTAAAAATGCGGTGGTTGGTTTGATTTTGTGAGCACAAACAACATTTGTCTAAAAACAAGAATTGACAAATTCTGTGTAGAGACTCGGACATTGAGCAGAAAGGAAATGTGTCTCTAGAGATCTAAACTGTAAAAGAATATCTAATGAAATCGACAGACATAAGTTTTTTGCAAGAATAATTGTCTTTATAGAGTGATGTCAGCCAAAAACTAAATCCACCGACAGTAGACACAGACTTTTCTACACACAACTACACACAGAAATAGACACCTAGAAATATATGTTTAATTGGATATACGCCTATAAAATGAGAGAAAATATACATCTTTGGTTCCAACCTATGACAATGTGTTTAAATATATCAAGGTCTTTGTTTGTGTAGAAAAAAAGTGCTGGTACTCACCCCAAACTGCCTTAAAGGATGTTAGTACTCACCACAAAGTGACTATTACAGTAGTGCTAAAAAAAATTTCTTTTAAAAAAAAAGAGGTGTTGGCGTACTGCCAGAAATAGAAGCCCTGACACTTTTGATTTCAGAATCTTGTTGATAGTACTGAATATCGAGGAATCAAAAGTAGTACTGGGAGTTCAAAGTAAAGCATAATAAACAGTGTTACTGATAGGTCAGAGTGTCCAGGAATAAACAGTGTTAATGATAAAACGGAGCCTCGAAGAATGAACAGGCTTACTAACAAGTCAGTGTATCAGAACTATTTAACTAACAGAATGACAAGGAGAGATCGCCTATCGAGGTTGACAACAGTGAAGCAATTATCAAAAACAGATGATGAATTGGCATCACATACACATGTTTCCAGTGAGACTGCCTTGGGTCCACCGAGTGAATGCGCAAGTCTTGCTATACAGTCAGGTAAGTTTGCTAAAATAAAACATGCTGGTTTGTAAAACGTTCAATAATAAGGTTATATGGGTGCTGGGAATATTGTCATCTGGACACTGGTATAGGTCAAACAACAATATTATTCTTCCCTCTAAACATTTCGCATTATGTGTGTTAATCACAGACTCTGACTTACAGCTGGCAGAAAAGAACATTTCATTAAGGATACAAGACATTTGATCGCTTGATTAATCAACACAGAACATGTATCATCAGTCATTGATCCTACTGAAGACATTACGGAGAAAATCAGAGCTCCTATGGATCTGCCCCTAGATCACATTACTTCAGATCTTCTTCTTCTTTCGTTCGCCTGAAAAAAGTTGTCTATATCAGCAATTGTGTCTCTTGTATAAATTTCACTGTTGTTGTTAATTCATTAAGTGGGCCATATAGTTTACGTTCCACAGTTGTTCTTTCTGGCCAAAATGTTTGCTTTAATGTGTCGTATTTCCATGGCGTGTGTGCGTGGCATCCTGATTGCTGTGGTGCGCCTTCTGGCTGGTTGCCTCCGACTTCAGCACCTTGTTTTGCAAGGGTAGACTGTGGTCATACTCGATGAGAGTAGGCTTATCCTTTCGTTTTTCGCCTTTACCTAGTTTGTTGTCCCATCCAGTTTCCCGCTGGGGGTTGAGACCCCAACCTTCAACTGGTTTGCTGAGAAAAACAGGGTCCACCATGTGAAGGTGATGTAGGCTTGATCAACAGAGGCTAATAGACATTAAGAGTCTTGTATTGCGCATCATTGCTCCATTTGGACCCCCCAGATGATTGCTTGCATATTTAAATCTTTACAGCCTTATTTCATCCATACAAGTATAGAAAAGCAATATTAGTATATAAGGACATCTACGTTATTTTTTCCCTCTCTTACCTTTGTTAGTGGCGGCTCAGATTAAAAATATAAGAAACACAAAGACTTGCCCTCTCGACGTGAAGGCAAGTCACGTGACTCGAGGTCAAAGAGAGGCTTCATGCAAGTCACCTGGCGGCTAGGGTGAAACTCAGTGTTAGGAGTCAGCTGTGGGTCAGAGTGACGCTTATGTGGTTTGAGGTCACCTGGCGGCTCGAGTACATGTTTGTTATGTAACTCCATGATAGATCACAAGGCGTGGGCGATCATGTAGGAGAGGACCTGCAAGTTTTTAGGCTGTACTGAGGTGGGATCTGTTGGTTATTAGGGTATCAGTTGTACCTAAAGAAAACTATGACGATTTAATGGCGTGGCTTAGGTCAAATTAAATTGGGGGGGGGGGGTTGTTTGTGTATAGTGTATGTTTTACAGTAAAAATATGTAACAGTGAAAAATATAAAGTGCTTGGGGGACTGTTTGCAGTCAAGCATCATCATCATCATGTGTCTTGCATCGTCGACCACTGGTACGGGTCAAACATAATTTGTGCAAACATTTTAAAAACAGTTGGCAGACATCGTTGACCTAGTACGGGATGAGATTTTTTGGTACTAGGGGGAATGACAATATAGAGGATGTTGTTTTTAACGAAGGTCTTCCTGATATGGAACAAGGGCGCATGCATAAGCAACGGTTAGTCGTCAAAGACGATTTGATGTCCGAGATGGATGATAGTCACCGAGCTGTTTACTAAAGGCAGTCACCATCGCAACATTAGCGGTTATTTGCTGTTTGACCTTCGACAGAAAACACAGATCAACACAGACACGCAGTAAACAATTTCCCAGCGAGAAACAAATGGTGAATGTTCCCAAATAACGATATGTCCGACGAACTTAAGACAGGGTGAAATTCTGCGCTTCGTGTGCAACATGTTCTAGAAAACGAAAAGTTGTCACCGCGTGATAAAGCCTTACTATTTCAACAGACGTTGCAACGATACTTAACTCGTCTCGATCAGTACAGAAACAAGTCTGCATGCTCCTTGCCCTGAACTCTTGCACAGCCCGGCACCAAGATAACGGTTGTATTCTCCATTCGTGACAACGACTCTTGTCTGATAAAGCCGAAAAAGAGTAAGTGGGCTGAGAACCTCCTGGCTCGCCCCACTTACATTACAATGTTGTAAGACATAGTAAAAAAGATAATAAAATCACAAATTTATCACTTAACCTTTCTGTGTTCATTCGCAGAAATTTATATTTTAAGGAAAGAAATAGACGTGACATTTAGTGATAACTTGCAAAACTGAAAGAAAGAGGGAAGGAAAAGGGCAAATAAATAAGTGCCATGATGGCTTGGCCATATGTATGGGTCTGGACAGGAGTACTGGCTTGATCTATGATACTTGTTATGGTGTACAATGGCAAAGCATTACCAACTTTGCTTATCGACACAGCTTTTGATGAACTTCTTCTTATTTAACATTCCAAGGTTTATTGCTGCCGTTATCACCCGCCTCCATTCCTCTCGCTGGTTGGCTTTCACTTTCCAGTTGGTGACACCAAGTGTTTGGAGGCCTGTCTGGATATTATCTCCCCATCGTGTTCTTAGTCTGCCTCGTAATCTACGAACATTTATCTCCCTTGTGTATACAGTTTTTACTTCTCTGTCGTCTGAAATTCTCTCAATATGTCCCAACCATTTCAGTCTATTAGCTCTCATGGTGCCAGTGATCATTAGTGATTCAAACAGATTATGAATTTTGTTGTTGCTTCTCACTCTCCATTGCCCTCTGTTTGCATCTTTGATGGGTCCGAAGATTATTCGTAAGACTGTTTACGAAAATTTTTAATCTCTTTAAGTTATGCTCCTATTTTCAGAGCCAAATAAAGCAACTGGTCTTGTCAATGTTTCATATATTTTGATTTTGGTGTTGCGAGATAGAGACTTTGACTTTAGCAGATCTTGAAAGGCACAGTATACTTAATTTCCAGATTGTATTCTAGATTGTATTTCTTCTCTCATCATGTTAGATCAGTTGAAGTTTGCACCCAAGAACGTTTGTTTCCGTTCGTTTGATCGACTTATCGACTTGTTGGTGACCGGAGTCCATATCCTTTCCCTGTCTTGTTATTGTCATGTATTCTGTATTCTGTCTTATCTTAATTGATAAGTAGTGTCATTTTGTGAGCTGCTTCTTTTAAGAGAGCCAGTGTATTTATCATCTCTAGTTCATTTTCTGCAACGATATCAATGTCATCTGCATAACTAAGTGTTCTTGAAGTTTCTCGTAAGTGCATACACTATTGTTTCAATTTCCTTATAATTTTCCCCTGGGCCAAGTTGAAAAGAAGTGGGGACAGAGTATCACCTTGCTTTAAACCAGATGTTTTTTTAAAAGGGTCTGACTTTCTGCTTTTATATGTTAATATATTATTAATTTAATGGTTTAAAGGCATGATTTACTATAGAGAATCATCATCATTGGCATGTGCCCTGCCAACTGGCGTGGGCGCTCATGTGTCTCCACAGATCACGATCTCTAGTTGACTGAAACAGCTCTCTTGATGATATCCCTCCATGCCATCTTTTCAGCCCATCCAGCATAATCTCTCTCGGTCTGCCTCTACCCCTTTTTTCATTGATCTTTCCGGTTGTCACGATTTTCTCCAATGTCTCTCTTCTCATTACGTGACCCAAGAACAGTGTTTGTCTCTTTCTTATTATTGTATATAGAAATCTACTTTGTATTAGCCTCTTTCAAGCAATAGTTGTTAGTTACTGTGGCCGTTCAAGGTATTCATAACATTCGTCTTAGAAACCACATCTCTATTGCTTCCAAATTATTTTTAATTTGTCCAGTGACATTTCAAGATTCGCTGCCATACAGCAGAACTGTATAACATTTTAGCACACTCTTTCTGACATTAAATGAGAGCGATTTATTGCATAAGATATTTTTCATTTTCTGAAATGCAGCCTTCGCTTGACCTATTCTGCTTTCAATCTCTGTCACACATTTTCCATCTGAGGATATGATTGTTCCCAGATATTTAAATTTATTGAGAGAAAACAGTGGTGATTTCTCTTGCCTTCCGTCGGTTATTATGATGATAATATTATAAATGTTTTCCATACACCGTTTGGTGGCACATGAAGATGATTATAATATTTCAGCAAACAAATATAAACTGGCGTCCTACGGGTAGTGTGACTGACATCGCTTGATAAGACTCTGATTAGGAGCATATCATGGATTTTCTGTCAGTACATTTGGGAGTGAATGATAATGAGCAGGTTTATAGACTGACTAGCTGCTGCTGTTTCTCTGGATTGTGAGCTATTATTAAGAAGAGACACTTTTGAGAGCTCCGATGCGTGCTTCAAACATGGCGGTCATAGTTCATGCGGTAACCCCTTTTGTGTCAAGAGTTGCATAGTTCCTTGTAGATTTTTTGGTTGTGATAAAAATGTCGCATGAGATTTGCTTTATAAAATATAGTCATCTATTAATTATAAGTCATGTTATTTTTCTGGGATCCAGATACTAAAAAAGTACATCACCCTGGCTATGGCAAAAGAGGAAAGAACAAGACAAGGTGAGCTGTTGGTAGATAGCTAATAATAAAAATCGTGGGCAACATCTACTGTCTCCTGTTAGCTAGTATTTGTTTTCACGCAATGCTGCGACTTCCGTATTGTTGTCTGGGACTGTTTTGTTTCTTTCATCATTCTTTCTAGGCTTTGATCATACAAGTAATTAGTTTCAAAACATGGTAAAAAAATGATTACACTGTTGAATGCTTGTCTGAATCCGGTATACTGGTGCAATTTGTAACTGATAAATGATGGATGCTTATTGCTGATGTATTTCAGTCAGGCGCCAGAAGAACACTACATAAGTCAGAAACGATAGCCTAGAATCATGTCTGCTTCTTTTCTGGAAATGTGCCAGTGTTTAATAAAGATGCCCTATATTCGACAGATTAATAGATAGATAGATGAAGTGTGATAGGAAAAGTATGCTCTGAATAAGCATGAAGAGCATCCATTGGTTTACGACAGATGACACCAAGACGCAAGCTTTGACAATAGAGGTGACTGTAGGCATACTGGTGTCAAGAAATAGATTCACTAAACGACAGCGTTTGCCTGACACGATGGCCAGGAAAGACACGACATCGACGCAAGCTTTGTGGATAGGACATTAACGCATTGTGGGTATACGGCAATCTTTGTTGATATAGAGACACCAAGACGCAATTGGGTATACTGCAATTCTTTGTTTGATACAGACATTGGACACGCATCTGTGGGTTATACTGCGCAATCTTTGTTGATACAGACATTTGACACGCATCGTGGGTAGTACTGCAATCTTTGGATACAGACATTGACACGCATCGTGGGTTATACTGCAATTCTGGAGTAATACTGACATTGACACGCATCGTGGTATTACAATCTTGTTGATACAGACATTGACACGCATCGTGGGTATACTGCAAATCTTTGTGTTACAGCATTACCAGACATTGACATTGCACACGCATCGTGGGTATACTGCAATCTGTGTTGATACAGACATTGACACGCATCGTGGGTATACTGCAATCTGTGTTGATACAGACATTGACACGCATCGTGGGTATACTGCAATCTGTGTTGATACAGACATTGACACGCATCGTGGGTATACTGCAATCTGTGTTGATACAGACATTGACACGCATCGTGGGTATACTGCAATCTGTGTTGATACAGACATTGACACGCATCGTGGGTATACTGCAATCTGTGTGATACAGACATTGACACGCATCGTGGGTATACTGCAAGTCTGTGTTGATACAGGACATTGACACGCATGTGGGTTATACTACAAATCTGTGTGATACAGTCATTGACACGCCTCGCTGGGTTGACAATCTGTGTTGATACAGATATTGACACGCATCGTGGGTATACTACAATCTGTGTTGATACAGACATTGACACGCATAGTGGGTATACTTCAATCTGTGTTGATACAGTCATTGACACGCATCGTGGGTATACTACAATCTGTGTTGATACAGACATTGACACGCATCACGGACATGTTCGCTGAGATCTGATAGACATGCTCACTGTGATTTGTACTGATATGGACATTGACTATGATTTATTGATCACACTTGCTGTTCACACTTGAACTGTGTCAAAACATCGAAAAAAGACTACTACTGACCCTGATCCATTCGATATGATGACACTGACAAACAGCAGTAATATTCACCGTTGACCAATGCAAAGCAGACAACGATAGAAACCGTAATTGGGCCAACTCCAGAATTTGGCTACATAACTATTCGATTCCATTTGAAAAACCTAACAAAGATATCACGAATCCATGTGGGTGCAGATCTGTTGCCAGGAAAACACGCAGTATCACAAATGTGAAAAGGCGAGGAATAATATCCTTCCCCCCCCCCCCCCCCCACCCCAAAAAAAAAAAATCTAAAATTCAACGCTGCCTAATTCTTACATTCGGATGACACCAGAGGAGGAACACAAAACCCTGGCGTAACGCTGCCGTCTCATCATATAGCACATATGAAGAACGTCAAGAGGCTTCAAAACACATACAGTTGACATAAACCTGAAAGCACTGTGCATACAGCAAAACTATCTTCCACCAACGAATGTGTCAAGTGCTGAAACTAATCATTCACCCAATTCTTGTTCGTGGAATCTGTCTCACAGTTTCAAGTGATCTTTCTAAGATAACCGCTAAAATAGAAGGTGTAATGCACACATTGCAAAAAATAACTACGTGTGAAATGCGATGTCTCCGAAGAGTCACCAACAATACACGAAGAGACAGAGTCACAAACGTCAGCATTAGAGACAAAGTTGGAACAAGAGCATGCATGGAACATATTGAAAGACAGAGAATGAATTGGTTTGGCCATTTAGTAAGAATGCAACCGGATCAGATTGCCTATAAGGCCTTTTACAGTAGAACATCGGGAAGAAAGGCCAGAGGAAGAAATGGATAGATGGAGTAGCTGAATACGGCCAGAAGATCCAGAAAACTGTCACTCAGATCACGCGAGAGGCACAAAACAAATATTTTAAACCACGACACTGGGCTGCAACCCGGTAAAAGTGAAGAAGACAATAGATAGAATGCACATATTGCCAATCTGTTCGCTGTCTTATAACCAAAACTCCCCCCCCCCCCCCCCCCCAGTATAAGACACACTTTTATTTTCCAAAAGTATGAAGCCTAAAAACAGTGTGTGCCCTATATAGTGAGAGTATCATATTTTTTCAAAAATTTTCTTTCTGATGTCAGAGTTTTGCATGGGAGCGCCTTATACTTGGAGAAAGTCGGTACCTGCTACTAGTATTTACATCTAGTATGTACACACTTACCCAAATAGATACCCGAGCTTTGCTTATGAATAAGTATACTTTAATACATTGTTTAATTCACTTCTTTCAGGTTCCAGGGAAGCTGAGTTCAGCTTTGGAGGCGAGGCAGATTTGCACGAACATAAGAAAAGGTGTGAGAAAAATAAAGGACACACGCAATTTCATACCTTCTTACAAGTTTACAATGGCTTATCTCCCAAAAAGCTACAGAGAAGATATTTGCTATAAATACATCAAAGCCATGGCAGATTTAACTGTCCATGTGGCAGTCGGTTATGTCAGTGACAATAGACCCGAGACTCTTCCGGACAATTGCACGCCTTACCCACCGTTCAAAAAAAGAGGCAGTAACACTGAGGTATATGGCAGTGGGTGGGTAAGCAGCGTCGATATGAATCCGTGCTGTTATACCAACAAAGAGCAGCTCTATTGTAAATGTAAAGAATGCATCGACTCTCCTGCTCCACAAGCACAATCTTATTACATTTACATAATAACGGCGGCCCATATTGTTTACGATGACTTTGAAGCAGTAGCAACCAAATGTACTCTCTTCTTTGACAAAGGAGACACCCCCGAAAGATGTGATGGTGCAGTAACTCTCAGTGGCATGAAACATGAAGGAAGTGACATTGAAACAGACTGGTGCGAGATAGATACGAGACCCACGATGCTGAACTGGCAAAGAGACTATCACATATGGCAACAGTGGCGGATGGTTTGCGTAAAGATGCTTGTCGTTTAGCTGGGAAGCTCCAGGAACCCACATTTAAGAAAACAGAGACAGAAAATGGAAGCAAACTGGAAACCAATGGAGACGAGTTGACTGTTGTAGTGTCTCACCCCCATGGATGCAGCAAACAGATCAGCCTTGGTTTCTGTAGCTATATCGATGTCATGAAAGATGAATGGACCCGGTACACATACACAACAGCAACTTGTCCTGGATCCAGCGGGGCTCCAGTGGTTACCATTAGCAAAAACTGGTCCTATTATGTCCATAGTGGTGGAAACTCAACTAAGGATGGTCAGCTCAATTACAGCAGTCATGGGATAAACATACTTCCACAAGATCTGGAATCTAGACAAAAATTAAAAGATCTAAACACAACATGTGACGAAGCTAACAGGATGCAGCAATGAAGGATGCAGTAATGAAGAATTTAACAATGATTGAAGCAAAAGAGAAAGAAGCAGCCATAAAGGATGTAGCAATGAAGGATGCAGCAATGAAGTATGCAATAATGGAGGATGTAGCAATGGTAGAAGCAGCAATAAAGGAAGCAGCAATGAAGGATGCAGCAATGAAGGATGCAGCAATGAAGGATGCAGCAATAAAGGATGCAGTAATGAAGAATTTAACAATGATTGAAGCAGCATTGAAGAAAGCAGCAATGAAGGATGCAGCAATGAAAGATGCTGTCAATGAAGGATGCAGAAATAAAACATGCAGCAATAAAGGAAGCAGCAATGAAGGATGCAGCAATTAAGGATGCAGCAATGAAACATGTAATAATGAAGGATGCAGCCTTGAAGGATGCTGTCAACGAAGGATGCAGCAATAAAGGATGCTGTCAATACCAGAGTGAAGAAGAAACAACCTGACAAACTAACTGTAGCAGCAGATGAACTGACCAAGGCGCTAATGATAGACGGCAGTCTAGCAAAGCATGTCAGCCCAGCAAAAGTCACTACAAGGTTGTGAATCCCCAGTCTTGAATTTCTTGCACATAATGCTGTTGCGTTGAGATCACTGAATCCCCTAGAGAGTACCAGTGAAGGTTCAGCCTGCCTAAGAATTACTACGCCAAGTTCCATTAAACACTGGTGGGGGGGGGGGGTCAAGGTACCTAACCCCCCCCCCCCCCACCCCCCTGGGTTCAAGCTACCATGGACTGCAGTAGTTAGTTAGTTTGTCAGTTTCGATGCAGATTTTTTTTTTTTTTTTTTTTATTTATTTTCAACTAAGCTTCCAGGTCTACAGAGCTCAAAATATAGACCTAGAAAATATTATAGTTTATTACAGTAAAGCCGCATAAAGTGGCGTCCGTGGCTAAGGCGTTGCGAGGCCGACTCGTAAATTCCATGTACCGCGATCGAAACCCACTGCTGGCTGCGTGGATTTTTATCGTAGTATGGGGCGTCCAGGTCGACCCAACCTACAATGGGTACCAGGATGGCTGTCCTGGGGAAGTAAAGACTGCCGGCATAATGCTTACCTCATTACCCACCCAGTGCCGATTGGTCTGTAAAAATATGGGACGCTCTTCCCATATGCCTGATGCACCTAAGGTGTGAAAAGGGATCTTTACTTACTGTATCTCTACTTACTTAAAGCCTCATTAACACGAATTATCAAAAGCGGAAAATCTAGAGTTTGTGTTAAAAAGTTTCTGCTAACAAGGAACTAAAATACTCTGTAGTGTAATATATCCCTGTCAGATTCTCTTTTACATATTAACAGTTTTCGTTATAACTGAGTTGGTGTAAATGAAGTTTTACTCTTCATTATTGCAAATGTTTGTTGCTTAGTTGTTTTGGTTGTTTTTTTTTTTTATTATTATTGCTGCCAACCTTTTGAAAATATTAAAAAAAAAAAATTACTTGTTATGCAGTTACGCATTATAGACATTTGGTGCTAACCTAAAACAATGTTGACCACTCTGCCTTTGATCAGTGTCTAGTCTGCATCCTTTACTTCCCAGAATTTACAAGTAGTCACTGTAGGCTAGGTCTGTTCACTCCTAATAATGTAAGGTACAATCTCAGTGTCGAATCAGTCTAAGGACCTACATAACAATGTTTAAACTAGTACTTCCCATCCTGGTTGTTTTGTGTTGGTTTTTTTTTCTTAACTTACTGTCATATACTATCACAGTTTTATGCCGTTGAACAGGTTTTCTGGGATTTTTTACCTTTGATTCTCATCCTTCACGTGTTTAATCTACAGACTGCAATTGTTAGGAAGAGAAAAACTTCATACCCTACCCTGTTACATCATTACGCAGACATTTTTGGCTGTCCACCTGGACTTCTCCATGGTCCACCAGTGTGTTAAAGAAAACTGGTTTCTGTTATACATTAAAATGACTCCAGTCCCAAGAGTTTTTTCATTACAGTAGATCATTTTAAAACTATTTTACTATTTTGTTTTAGAGTTTCCAGGACAATATTTGGTTATTAGAATAATAGCATCTTCAGCAAGCAGAAATTAAAGAAGAATTATCACAAGTTTATACACAAATTAACTAATACACATTTTGTCTCTGTTTGTTGACTATTAAATATGTACATTTTATTGTCAGGAAATGCAGTGTGTATTCTTTAAATGTGTTGCAATCTGGTCTTCTCAGTTTTATAATATCAGTCATGTCTCAACGAATTGCATTCTCCAGCGCTTGAATAAGTACATTCCATATAGCTTGGGTTTCCAAATGCACTAATTCTGTGTGTACGATCAGCTTATCAAAACTGTTTACTTACTTCCGTCACCAAAATATTATGTGGTGACTGTTGTGCTGGCATTTTTTAGCAGCTACCTTATGTATTTACTGCTTGTGCATGTTTCTGGATGCTGTTAATACTAACTGCAAGTGTTTTATTTTCAAATGGTAGAGCAAAAGACAATTTTTATGATTTTCACTGGGAAAAAATAGCAACGGAACAACTATGGGGTGACCCAACTGCCGTGAAGTAAGTTGGGATGACGACGATTACTACTGCTACTAAAAGTGACATTTTTAAAAAAAAATAAAATACCAGAGACTTTGGCACACTTCATCAAATAATTTTCTTGCTGCTGCTGTTGTTTCTGTTGTTGTTGAAATTGAATTTAAGCTATTGATGCTACTTATGTTTCTGTTGTTGCTACTATTGTTTCTGTTGTTGCTGCTATTGTTTTGTTGTTGCTACTAATGTTTCTGTTGTTGCTACTAATGTCTCTGTTGTTGCTACTATTGTTTCTGTTGTTGCTAATATTGTTTATGTTGTTGCTGCTAATGTTTCTGTTATTGCTATTTTTGTTTCTATTGTTGCTACTATTGTTTATGTTGTTGCTACTGATGTTGTTGCTATTATTGTTTCTATTGTTGCTACTGTTGTTTCTGTTGTTGCTACTAATGTTTCTGTTGTTCCTGCATTTGTTTTGTGTTGCTACTAAAATTTATGTTGTTGCTAATATTTTTTTTATTGTTGCTACTATTGTTTCTGTTGTTGCTGCTAAAGTTTCTGTTGTTGCTACTATGTTTTCTATTGTTGGTACTATTGTTTCTGTTGTGGCTGCTATTATTTTGTTGTTTCTACTAATGTTTCTGATGTTGCTACTATTGCTTTTGTTGTTGCTGCTACTGTTTCTGTTTTTGCTACTATTGTCAAAATAGTAGCAGCAGCAGCAGCAGCAGCAGCAGTAGTAGTAGAAGAAGAAGAAGTAGTAGTAGTAGTAGTAGTAGTAGTAGTAGTAGTAGTAGTAGTAGTAGTAGTAGTAGTAGTAGTAGTAGTAGTAGTAGTAGTAGTAGTAGTAGTAGTAGTAGTAGTAGTAGTAGTAGTAGTAGTAGTAGTAGTAGTAGTAGTAGTAGAGGATAGCGAAAAAGAAGAAGAAGAAAAAGAAAATGAAGAAGAAGATAACAAAGAAGAAGAGAAGGAGAAAAAACAGAAAAAAAGAAGAATTACATGTTTGTATGACAGTCTACTACTTTTTTTTTACCTAAATTAATGCCGATAGATATTTTTTTTTTTTTTTTACTGCTATATCTCCATTGGAAAGTCGCTGTCTTTTGGGGAGAAAGAGAGTTTAATTTTTACAGAAAATCGAGCACAAAATCATGCTCCATTTCCTCACATGACGTCCTCACTGGTGGGGAAATCCAGTCACACAATTATCGCTAGTGTTTGCAAAAAAAAATTACAAGTACACAATGTTACGGTTACATAAATAGGCCTAAGAATTTGAGCGATAGATGTTTATAATGTACTTAGGTATTTGTTTCACAGAAGGATATTACATTCTTCTTCTTCTTTTTGTACTAGAAGCAAAGCAGATGGCGGTATCTTGTAATGGTGGAAAGAAAAGAGATAGCTATAAAGGATAATATGTAAATCTACTCTTCTCGACTTGGAACCAACAAGAGTTATAACAATGTGACGTGGCGAGTGGGAGCCAAAACCCAACCTTAAGTTGCCTCAGTAACAGGGGGGGGGGGGAGAAAACAAAAGTTCGTTTTAATCAAAAGTATCTCACCCCGACAGGAAATCTTTTGTGTAAAGTCTAGATCAGCCAAGCAACAAATACTAAACTAGGCACACTAACTTCAAGTCCTAATTTGACCGAAAAACAACTGGAACTATAATTACCACATTGAACATCTGTTTATTTCACTTAACATAAAATCAGCGTGGTCCACAAATAACAACATTAACAACAAACGTGCTCGACCAGAACCAGAACCTAAAGTGCTAATTATCTCCAGCTAACAAGGAACTTTGGCAATGACACCATACGCTCAGCGAGATTACCTCAACAATGGCAAAAACCGAAATATATTTAACATGTATGTTAAGCTTAAATATGCCAACAAATCATTTATAGCTACCTGCCATCCTAGCGAGAATACGCAACTACATATTACACAGTATAACTACTAGAGACTACTATTTCAGGAAGAAAAATGGAAACGAACCACCGCCTGCGAAATCAGCTTGACAACCGGCCTTCCCCTGTAGTCGCCCACACCCATGCTAGCGAGCCCCAAGTGCAGAGTTACACCAGCCGGGTAGGTCTCCACGGGGTGCGTCCGGAAGTCAAATAGGAGACCAATACTGAATCATTTGGCCTTTTTATAACCAGTGGCCAGATTTTTCCCCATTCTACTGTCCAAAACTAAAAGCTTTTTGTGGCCTCTTGGTCATTTTTAAACCAGATTAAATCAAAATCGTTGAGCTGCTTAACAGTCGTCTTTGTCGTTTTCCAGCCTATCGCATTCTTCTTTTTCTTCTCTTCCTCCTCCTCCTCCTTCTCTTTCTCCTCTTTCTCGTCCTCCCCTTAAACCCCTTCTTTTTCCTCTTTTTTTGTAAATGAAGTTAAAGCCCCCTACCTAACAACTAATTCTCGTCATTTGTATCATCTCTTACACCTTCCTCTATGTCCTACTGCAGCCACCATAGCTGCTTTTGTTTTGTTGTGTTGTTTTCAGTATCGTCCTATGTTCATGTTGTCAGTCAGAATAGTTCCAGTGATCATTTCTCTTTAGTATTCTACGATACTATCACATCGGGGTCACCGTAGTGAAGTTGTCAAGTCGTTTGCCCCGCACTCCGAAGGCCCTAGGTTCCTTTCACGGCCTCATCGTTCCGTTCTCGAGTGCAAGAAAGTTCTAATGAGATCCCTGGGGATCGCCGCAGTATCTATGGTGTTCCTACTTTGTGCGATGCTCCCGGCAGACGGCTAGACGTTTTGCGGTGATATACCGTTATATAGGACGAAATCCGGTGCAATGAAGGTGATCCTCTGAACTTTAGCTTTTAATTCACATCTAAAAAAAAAGTTCATTACTTCTTATCTACAGAAGAACACAGAAGACGTTTACAACGTGTCTCCATTAAAGTCAAAAATGCAGTCGTACATTACATTTAAAGAATTGTGAAAGCAGCTCAAACACAAAGTTTGATGTTTGAAAACATGCCCGTTTCTCTGATTCCATGACAACCATCAGACGCTAACACTCGGCGGGAAACAAATAAAGACAAATTCTGTCTAGTGAGACTGAGAGTAGGCAGAGAAATGTCTGTCTAGAGATTTGATTGTGAGAGAATATCTAGTAAAATATTGACAGAGTTCATGTTTACGCTATAGAAAAAACTTGTTCCGTCTGAACGAGTAGACATTGAGAATAGTCTGCATTTGGAAATAGATGGTGTAAAGATGTCTGTATGTCTAGAATTCTATAAATAAATTTGCATCGGGGTCTACGAGTTGACAGAAAACATAAATCCATGAATCCAGTCTATTGGAATCTGACTAGGAATTTAGATTTGAGTAATTTTTATACAAAGATGACAAATCAGATTCTGGCTAGCAGTGAGAATCTATACAGAAAGATCAGCAGTGACATTTATCTGGAGTTCAGCAATGAGAGTCGGCCAACAGAAATGGACAAGGAGAGACGGTCAATGGAGACAGTTTTCATCAGTCAGAAAACGTCAGCAGGGCTGGTCGTTGATAGTCTGTCTACAGAAGTCAACACTCAAAGTTTGTCTACAAATGTCACAATAGAGGATGTGTCTGCAGATGTTATCACTGAGGATGTGTCTACAGATGTCAACGCTGAGAATGTGTCTACAGATGTCAACACTGAGGATGTGTCTACAAATGTTAACAATGAGGATGTGTCTGTATGTATTGTCAATAAGGATGTGCCTACAGATGCCAACACTGATGATGTGTCTACATATGTTATCAATGAGGATGTGTCTATATGAATTGTCAATAAGGATGTGCCTACAGACGTCAACACTGAGGATGTGTCTACATATGTCAACAATGAGGATGTGTTTACATATGTTATCACTGAAAATGTGTCTACAGATGTCAACACTGAGGATGTGTCTATATGTGTTATCACTGAGGATGTGTCTATATGTGTTATCTGTGAGGATGTGTCTACAGATGTCACCACCGAGGATGTGTCTACAGATGTCAACACTGATGATATGTCTACACATATTATAAATGAGGATGTACCTATATGTATTATCACAGAGGATGTGCCTACGGATGTCAAACCTGAAGATGTGTTTACAGGTGTCATCACAGAGGATGAGTCTGCAGGTGTCGTTTGTACTGGAAATGCACACTGTACCCAAGTCAACAGTTGTTCAGTAGACACAAGATATATCCAAGACACAAGCTGTACCGAAGGTAAGAGTTTTCTGCAAGGATATACTGAAGATGAGAGTTTTCTGCGAGGATGTACTGAAGATAAGAGTTTTCTGCAAGGATATACTGAAGATGAGAGTTTTCTGCGAGGATGTACTGAAGATAAGAGTATTCTGCAAGGATATACTGAAGATGAGAGTTTTCTGCGAGGATGCAATGAAGATAAGACTTTTCTTCAAGGTATGCGATCTTCTGAAGACAAAAGACGGAAATTAAATATTGTATCCAGGCTCTTTAAGCTTGTTAAGCGCAAAACTGTATTACAGAAAAGAAAAGGCATCCATTTAAAAATCCCAACTGCAGCAAGTGGGAGGGGGTGGGGGTGACAAAAACATTTCAATTTTGGCGATGCCTGTGTAAGAAATGGGAACGTTCTGGCTCAGTTTTAGGCATAAGAAAAGTTCAAAGAACCTTTTGTGTGTGTGTGTGTGTGTGTGTGTTTACTGGTTGTAAACTACGACAGAAAGTCCTGATTGTTAGTTATTATCTGGAATTCTGACTTTCTTCTATAACTCGAGTTTTGGATGCTCATCCGCTTTACAGATATTGCTTATTAGGTTTTTTTTTTTTTTTTTTTTCGAAATTGGACTGCATCTGTCTGAGCGGCGAGAAAACCAGTAGTCAGCATACAAAGAAGTCAGATCTGTAAAACGGATGTAAATTCAAGTTCTGAATCACGACTAAAGTCCGGGAGTGGGCGAGCAACCACAACTTCCGTCTGGAGTTTACAGCCAGTGAAAGCAAAGAGAAAGAAGTTTTACATATCAATCCATACATTCAACAGATACTTCAATATTGACCTACTTTCTTGCGGACCTCTCTGCGCTAATTTGTTTGTTCGTGTGTTGAAGAAATTTTAAGTGTGTAGAATAAACAGAACGGCCGTTACAGTGAGGAAAACACGTGTGTTATGTGTTACCTGTACTGCTGTCTTGTTTCTTCTTCTGCTTTCTATTCCCCCACCCCTAACGGAGCATAAGCCCTCAGCCAACACACACCAAGTCGTTCTATCCTTCGTTATTGCTGGCAGCTCACCCCAAGTCATGGTCATCTTTGTCACTTCACTCTCTCGCTCCCTTTTCCATGTGTGTATCTGCGTGTGTGTGTGGACGGGGGGGGGGGGTTGTTTTTAGGGGGAGGGGTCTGCCATTATTCATGTGCCCCTGTGGGTTCCGGTGCAAAGACTTGTTGTTTCCTGTACTGTTGCAAGCGAGTGAAATGTTGACAGTAAGTAGCAGGGTCACCGCAATCCACGGACCCCTAGGCACCTTGAACCAAGGGTGTGTGGAGGCGCGGGGCGACCCAGGTGTCATCACTGGGGAGGGAGGGTACCAAATGGTAAAAATATGTGTTTTTAACATTTTAAAATGTGTGTGTGTGTGTCGAGGGGTGAACGGGAATGTTCCGCACAGGATACTACCTGACCTTGCAAGGCTAGTGGGGGGTGACAGGAACATTTTCCGCACCACTTTTCCTTATAACTAGGAGGCGAAAAAAAGAGTAGGGGGGGGGGGGTGTCTCAATTTAGATCCCAAGTTCCGGCGCAAATGTTCAAAAAAAAATCTTCTTTAATTCTTTAATAAAACTGGCTGTCACCCAAAATAACAACAAATGATGAAGAAATTTAAATTGTCACCAACGTTGAATATCTAGGCTCTATAATAAATAGCAATGGAGACTGTTTGATCAAAAGGAGGATGGCCAAAGCAGGGAAAAGATTAAACAGCCTTAAAAGTCTATGTTTAAACACCAGCAATGAGATCAAAATTAGAATTTTGAGAGCATGCATCTTCCCTGTAGCAACATACGGATGTGAGTCGTATACTATTTTCAAGTCCTTTAAAAAGAGAATAGGGGCTTTTGAGCTGAAATGCTATAGAATATAGAAGGATTATTAGAATATCAGACAAAGAAGAGGAGAAATACTGACATCTTGAAAGATCTGAACATCAAGGAAGATTGGCTAATAAACAGCATCCTGTCTCGGAAGCCGAAACATTTTGGTCATATCAAGCGCCACGACGGATTGGAAAAAAAATTATAGCAGAAGATATGGTACCAGAAAGAAGGGGCACGGGCCGACCGACACGAATATTGGTACATGCTAAAAGTTACTCCCTGAGTATGAAAGTACATGAGGTGGGACAGCTGGCGAGAGACCGAGTTTCTTTCAGACCGACCGTGATGAGAGCGACGTTCTGCAAAGGGCCTGCCACATGATGACGATGATATTATAAAGCCAAGGGATATCACTCCCATAAAATACAAGTACTTCCGAGGTGACGGCACATGCGCGTTTGTCCCAGCAGTTATTTACCAGCCCCGATCCCCAGGCGTCAGACAGCAGCTTCTCCAGGGAGTCTACCCCTCACGACCACACTTTCTGTTTTCGGGCATGGCCCTGGAACAAGCTTCGCTCTTACTTAGCAGACAGCTGAAAGGTTTCCTCGAATTGTTGTTTTATTGTCTATGTTAATTGTATTTCGTTGAGTTGTTAGTGGTTACCCTCCCCGCCCAACATGTGTTGTTGAAGGGAATTCGGGCAGACTACGTTTGATTGATCATCGCCATGTCTGTCAGGAATATTTGAGTGGTAATCAAAATCCGTCGCCATGGCCAGCCAGCAGTAGAGATGCTTAGTTACTATGTTAACGAGAAGGGTTATCTTCTAGTTCGTATCTAAAATTACTGATTAGAAGTTAGTTTCACTCACTCAGTCTGAAACTGATGACCCTCATAAGATGATAAGATTCTGTTTTTATTATTTAACCTATCTTTTCAATCAATTTTACAATCTTGCCCTGCTAATAGTAATTGACATGGTCTTTTCTTATCAACATCCTTGTCATAAAGACTATGGCATTGGCAGTCACGTCTATCCACAGCCCTGTCTCATGTCATGTACTTCTACTATTACTAATATAATAACGGCTCTACTGGCAAATTTGGCCGGTAAGCTGGACTGCTTCGGCCGGCTTAGTGGGAGTTATGTCCCTTCGCCAAACTCAAAACAAGTCGCGGAAAAAGTCACGAATCAAATGACATACTTACCTATCATCATCCGGGTGCGTGTAGGGTTGCGTCTAGGGTTACATATCATCAGACGGTTGCGCGTAGGGTGTCTATCATCATCATACGGTTGCGTGTAGGGATGCGTATGGTGTCTATCATCATCATACGGTTGCGTGTAGGGTTTGGGTTAGGGGTGGGGTTAGGGTTAGATGATGTGAAAATATTCACGTAGGAGGTGAAAATACTGGCCGACAATCTGATGCTTGTGGGAGTGGCGCCACTGGAAGTGTGCCAAATATGACGGCAATAGCGCGCGGCGGCTGGTGCCTAATCGGTGGCGAATTGTCTGTGTCAGTAGCATCCGCTGTCCATCGACTGTTTGCGCGTGCATGCGACTGTGCGCGATTGTAGGGTACTACGGCGTCACAATTGTCACATCTAACGCTACACCTACCCCTAACCCTAAACGCTAACCCTAACCCCTAACCCTACCCCCATCTATCTTACGCAAACAACCAACCCTACACGCAATAAGCAGCCCTACACGCAACCGTAGGACGATGATAGACACCCTACGCAACCCTACACGCACCCGGATGATGATAGGTAAGTATGCCGTTTGATTCGAGACTTTTTCCGCGACTTGTTTTGAGTTTGGCCAAGGGACATAACTCCCACTAAGCCGGCCGAAGCAGTCCAGCTTACCGGCCAAATTTGCCAGTAGAGCAATAATAACTACTGTGATGTACTTAGCCTTAAAAGTCTATGGTTAAGCTCCAGCAAGGAGATAAAATTCGAATTTTGAGAGCATGCATCTTCCCTGTGGCTACATACGGATGTGAGACGTGGACTATCTCTCAGTCCTTAAGAAAGAGAATAGGGGCTTTTGAGCTGAAATGCTATAGAAAGTTTCTCAGAATATCTTGGACAAAGAAGATGAGAAATATTGACATCTTAAAAGATCTGAACATCAAGAAATATTGGCTAATAAACAGCATCCTTTCTCGAAAGCTGAAATATTTCGGTCATATCAAGCGGCACGACGGTTTGGAAAAAATTTGTGCAGAAGGCATGGTACCAGGAAGGAGGGACGGGCCGACCGACACGAAGATGGGCACAGGGTATAAGTGACTCCTTGAGTGGGAAAGTACATGAGCCGGGAGAACTGGCGAGAGTTTCTTTCAGGCCGACTGTGATGAGAGCAAAGTTCTGCAAAGGACCTGGTACATGATGATGTACTTACAGTCAGCTTTGACACAGATAATCCTCTATGGCATTATGTCAGACTGTCCAGCATTTTCTCATCATAGTTTTCCGTTGCCTCTCTTTCCCACTATCACGATATACCCGGGTTTTCTTCACCTGACCTCACCAAAGAATGTAGACTGTTTTCTTATCCACAGGGTTTGATCACTGATCATATATAAATTGGTGTGCTGACACTACATGCAGTAGCAGGTTGCTTCAAGAATATTTTTTTTTGCTTTCTTATATTTCTGCAACTTATATTTCATAAATCTTCCCAGTTGTCACTAATTATAGTTTTCTGTTATCATTGTGTCCCAGCCTATAGAAAGTGATTACTGCCTTTCTGATGTTTGTCATAAGTTGTCTTCTTAGCTCTTTCAGAATATTCATTTTTCAAACGCAGATCTTTTTTTTAGAAAACAGTTGCTGGAACTCCCTATGAAGTGTCTGAATAAGTTGCTGGTACTCTGTGCAAGGTATCTATTACAGTAGCACTGGAACCAAAGATGGCACATGAAAACGTTGCAGGCGCCGACTATTAGGGGGGGGGGGGGCATTTCTGGAGATGCTGACTTAAGAAGAACAGCTGAGTGGCAGAGAAAGCACTCGTATCATATGCGGAAGACATCATTGTGTACCGACAGGGCAGAAACAGAGATGACTTTTTTTCAGATCTACAACAGGAATTAGATCGCATATCATCCTGGTGCAACACGTCAGGGCAACAATTAATCCATCAAAACTGACAGTCACCTGATTCTCGTTAAATAATCACCTTTCAAAAATACCAATGCCGATAGTAAAACTTTGTTGTGCTGAAGTGGAGAGATCTGATTCCATGAAATACCTGGGTATAACATTTGACAGATGCTTAGCATTTAAAAAACATTTAGACCACATAACTAAAGCCAAGAAAGGTCTCTTTGCAATAAAAGTTATAGGAGCTGCATGCTTTGAACAACGGCTACTTGTAATGTTCTATCACGCGTTAGCTCTCTTCATAGTTGAATATGCCTTTGCCATCATGACACTCAACATGACACAAATTAGCAGACTGAAAAAATTTTTAATGAGGCAATGTGTAATATTCTTGGACGCACTAGAGACACCTTGTAAATCCATGCAATACCTCTTGGATTTCCCCACAATGGAAAACAGAATCAAGCTATCCAGGGCTGTTGCTTTCTTCAAAGTGAAGTCAGACCAATGACACCCACTTTATGAGGAATTATTCAAGCAAAAAAAAAGGGTAGACTCAAACGAGGCAAATCCTAGATGGGTCGGGTTGAGGATGCCATCAAACATGTTTGCCGCCTTACTGACATTAATTTTAAAATTGAATGGATAATTATGCTTCCTTCTCCAAACATTAATATTAGTCTACATTACACTTGATGGAAGCTGTAAAGAGCAGATTCCTGGCATTGTTGACACTTAGTCAAAACACTGATTGACGAAAACACAGATGAAGGTGATGCTATAGTTTACACAGATGGGTCAATAATTTGGGACAAGCGAAGTGCATGGGCATTTACAGTAAGCTCAAGGGGGAAAACTATCAAGGAGATGAAGGGCGCCTTTGCTGTTACAACTAGTAGTCTTACAATGGAAGCTATGGTTAGTGACTTGATGAATATGCTTAAAAAATCCAAGTTGGATTTATCAGGCGAGAATGGATTGCAACACAAAGCACTTCACAAATAGCTGCCCTAACCTTCATATTTGTGCCAGGTCATGCTGGTGTTCAAGAAAATGAGTGTGCAGACAATCTTGCTGACATTGCGGTTGTTATGGCTGGTCCAGTACTGGACAGAAGTGATGTTTTCAATGCCATGCGCTGCACTTACCGTACTGAGGAGCACGCCAAAGGATATGACTCCGTATCCCTGTCTAGACTGATGGACATAGGGGTGCAGCCTGGAGCTGTAAGAAATGAGCATTTCACTACGAGGACAAGACGTTTCATTAACCAACACAGAACAGATGTCATCAGTCGTTTTACACTTGTGGAGCTTTTGAGGAGGAGATCGGAGCACCTATGGATCTGTCCGGAGTGCTGTGATGATAATCCTTTCTAATCACTAATCATGAATGTGGTAAATATCACTAAATGAAACATTACTGGACTTGCAAATTCTGTATAATTCACATTTAAAAAAAACAGGGGCAACCCTTGAGGCCATGCAAACATATATAATAAACAAAGAGATAATTTATTGTTCGGTACATAAAAATAAGTAGAAAGATTGGACACACTGGACAAGATAACAATCAAATGCTGTAGATACTGTGCCAGGAATTGAACCTGTCACCTCCAAATTGGGTGTGTGCCTTGTTATTCATGAATTATCACTAAATGAAACATTACTGGACTTGCAAATTCTGTATAATTTACATTTTTTTAAAAACAGGGGCAACCCTTGAGGCCATGCAAACATATATAATAAACAAACAGATAATTTATTGTTCGGTACATAAAAATAAGTAGAAAGATAGGACACACTGGACAAGATAATCATCAAAAGCTGTAGTTACTGTGCCAGGAATTGAACTTGTTAACTCCAGGTGGTGTGTGCGCCTTGTTATGGAACAAATGTGCTGAGATATATGATCAACTAGGCACCCCGAAAAAAGGGGCATTATCTGTTTATTATATATAAGTTCTTTGGGAGGACAAGCTAAAGGATTGAAAGCTCATTGTTTGTAGGTTATATTAGTCATGCAGATCTCTGAGATGCACTCTGCAATGAATACAAAGCTAGAAATGAGGTTTAAGCAGCAATTCATAGAATCTGGTGATTTCTTGTATAAGCCCAGTACCAGCACACAATGTGTCAGCTCTGGAAGCCATATTGGGTGGTTCTTTTCCTGCCTTTCTTTAGAGGGCAAATCATTATACACACAGCTGCTCTTACGCAACAGATCTACTCCAGGGAAATGGGGGGGGGGGGGGAGAGAAGGGAAGGTGACACCTATAGATGGAGAGGTGAAGTAGACCTCAGAGTCTTAATATTCTCTCTTTTGGAGTTAACAAAGCAGGCTGAGAGAAGGATCAAGCTGTATGGGTTACATACGGTCTCTACAGTACTACCCAAGCTTTGGTATGGAGAGGATGTTCTTAATCTCTCGAAAGGTTGCAACAACAGATGTTCGATGAAGTTAACCGGGAAGGCACATTTTTTTTTTTTTTTTTTTAGTTTTGTCTGCCACTTGTAGCAGTTACTCTTTGCATGATGACTTGGATCACTGATTTGTAACAGGGTTTTTTTTTGGTGTTTCAGAGCTAAATAAAAGTTCGGTTGATGGATTTTCTGCCGGGCTTATTGATGATGATGACCTGTTTAAGTGGGAAATAGTCATCTACGGACCACCAGAGACTCTTTAGTAAGTGCACTTTATCACCTAGAGAATTTAGCACACCAGTGCATATTTTTGGACTAAAGTCAGGTAATTGCAGTTCCAACTTCAGAGCAGACAGGTCATCCTGTAGTTGCTCCTTTCTTTACCAGCAAAATCAACACAGAATATCCATCACTGACCCTTGTTGTTTAGAAAACAGGAATAGACCCAATGGATTCCCAACAAGCATGTTGTGTGACTATACTTATTTGGGGCTTCCTTCAGTCTGAGTGCATCTGCCTGAGAGGCAAAGAACCAAAGGTCTGCATACAAATAAGCCAGATCGGTGAAATGGATGTGCACTGAGCAGTCAAGTTCTGGAACAAGGCTAAAGTCCAGAGGTGGATGAACACCCAGAATTTTCCACCGAAGTGTAAAGCCAGTGAATGCAAAAGGAGAAGTCTACACATGGAGGAAAATGCAATAGCTAACTTTGTTAGAAGCAAAAACTGGTCACAACTGAAAGCAGTAAGCCTTTGAGACTGCTATATTCTTTAAAGTACACTTCATTATGATTGTTGTGCTTGGGGAGGGGGGAGTGGGAGAATCTTCTTTTTCAGTAGATCCCGTCTCCTGAACTGCACTCACTCTTGCACATTTCTACCACTGAATCTGCAGTTGAGAGTGTCGTCACTCTCTTTACTGTTAAAAGAGGTGTTTAGTTATATATGGAATTAAAAGGAATAACACAAGACAGACAGCCAGAGAATGAGCAGAGTTCAAGACCAGACCAAGTGATTCTTCTTCTTTCATTTGCTCGAAAAAAAAGTATGTGTATCTGCAATGCTGTCTCTGGTATGAACTTCACTGTCTGTTGTAATTTACTTGGTGGCCAGTAAAGTTTGGCTTCCGCCAGTGTCTCTTGTTCAGTAATTTTCTATTGAGGACAGTCTTGGAGGATGTGATCTATTATCTCAGGCGCCAATCCACATATGCACTTGGCTGATTTGTCAGTCTTACATTTTATGTACATGTGGCTGCAAAGTCGATTGTGTCCTGTTCTAAGACGTAGAATAATGACTTGCCCTGGCCTGTCTATAATGTGACAATCGTCTTATGTCAGTTTTGGGGCTTTCTTGTTGATTTGATCATTTTTTTCTGATAATAAGAGACTGCGTGTCAAGTTGTTCTTCAGACCAAGTGATGAAATGCTTGGTGTTGATATTTTTAGTACTTTTACATGACTGTTTGCTAGTTTTGATACATTTTCACAGAACGTTTGTTTATTTTGTTTCAGTGAGGGTGGTATGTTCAAAGCACACCTCATCTTCCCCAGAGAGTACCCTCATAGACCACCAAAGATGAAGTTTGTGTCCGAGATGTGGCACCCGAACAGTGAGTCTGATACTTGTTGCTTATCTAGTTCTTAGTTCCTTTGTGCTAACTGTTCAGTTCCATAAATTATTTACAGCAGCTGCCCAGTGTTTCACAGGTCACTGCCAGAAGAAAATCAGATAGATATTGTTTATCCATTCCTGGTTAATTTATCAGTGTTAATCATTCATAGTTGATTAAAGAGCAGCAGGCGAGATGGTTTGGCCATCTGACTAGAAAGTCTTGATATGAGCTGACACAAAGAGCCACATTATAGAAATGTAATAAACAGAGCAAGAAGACCACAGAAAATATGGAATGACATTCTCAAGAACAGAATTCAAGAAATTGTGAGCTTAAATTCATCTCTTCTTTGCATTCGGTTTCCTATGCTGTGTTGAGACACTCAGGTGGGCTGCCTCTATAAATTCTCATGTTGATTGCAGATTCTTCATGGTTCCCCCAGCTTGCTCTGCCCACTTTGTTCTTGAAGCCGGGATCCTCATCGTAGTTGTAAGTATAGTGGGCACACCTGCAGAATGTGCCGGGGCTTTTTGTGGTACTGTCAGACTTACACCGCGTATTAAAAATAGAAAGAGCACTCCAAAGATCGTTGCATCTCCCCTAAACACTTCGATGAGGTAAAGTAGCCAGAGGAAGGGAAGAAGAGGTTAATATTTTTATTCTGGGTACTTCGATCAGAAATTATTCAGGGTACTAAGGTCAGAAATTATTTTGGGTACTTGGATCAGAAATTATATTAGGTACTTAGTTCTTGTTGTTTGTTTAAATTTGTTAGTTATTTTGGGTTTTTTCTTTCAGAAGTTATGCTGTGTTTTTTTTTATTTAAAAACAGAAATTCTGTAGGTCTGCTAATTCCCACAAACCAAATTGTAATTAATTCTAACAAATCTAATTGCAATTCCTCCAATGGTCATGACGCAGTTGATCAAGAGGGCAACGTGTGCATCTCAATACTGCATGAACCTGGCGACGATAAGTATGGCTACGAGAAGGCGGCGGAACGGTGGCTGCCGGTCCACACGGTGGAAACCATCTGCATCAGTGTCATCTCCATGCTCGCTGACCCCAATGATGAATCTCCGGCCAATGTAGATGCTGCTGTAAGTCGTGTGTGTCTGTCCTGTTTTTGTAGATGCTGCTGTAAGTCTTGTGTGTCTGTCCTGCTTTTGTAGATGCTGCTGTAAGTCGTTTGTGTCTGTCCTGCTTTTGTAGATGCTCCTGTAAGTCGTGTGTGTCTGTCCTGCTTTTGTAGATGCTCCTGTAAGTCGTGTGTGTCTTTCCTGCTTTTGTAGATACTGCTGTAAGTCGTGTGTGTCTTTCCTGCTTTTGTAGATGCTACTGTAAGTCGTGTGTGTCTTTCCTGCTTTTGTAGATGCTCCTGTAAGTCGTGTGTGTCTGTCCTGCTTTTGTAGATACTGCTGTAAGTCGTGTGTGTCTTTCCTGCTTTTGTAGATGCTACTGTAAGTCGTGTGTGTCTTTCCTGCTTTTGTAGATGCTCCTGTAAGTCGTGTGTGTCTTTCCTGCTTTTGTAGATACTGCTGTAAGTCGTGTGTGTCTTTCCTGCTTTTGTAGATGCTACTGTAAGTCGTGTGTCTCGTTCCTGCTTTTGTAGATGCAGGTGTGAGTCTGGTATTTCTGACCTGCTTTTGTAGATTCTGGTGTAAATCGTGTGTGTCTGTCGTGCTTTTGTAGATACTGGTGTAAGTCGTATGTGTCCGTCGTGCTTTTGTAGATACTGCTGTAAGTCTTGTGTGTCTGCCGTGCTTTTGTAGATACTGCTGTAAGTTGTGTGTGTCTGTCATGCTTTTGTAGATGTCTCTTTAAGTCTTATGAGGAGGGGCCAAATGGATAAGAATACAGTGCTTTCATGCAGGAGACCCGGGTTAAAATCCTCAGTTATATTGGAGATTTTTTTTTTTTTTTTTCTGTTTTGGGGTGTGCACAAAAATCCTAACCCGAACAGTCTGTGGTGACTAATCTTCAAACTGAGAGACACAACACTGTACCCTGAATGAGTGATAAATGCAAGCAGTAATGCAGGGAAAGTAAAAAAAGATGATGCTAAGGCTTGTTGCCTAAATGAACTTTTATTGGTGCTGCTGAAAGTCTTCAGTTGGAAATCGAAAAGAGGCTTTGCAGCGCTGCTCAGGCAAAGTTTGGTGTTAAAAATCTACCCAAAATGTATTCCAGGATCCTCACTGGTGCTACGGAGTTCATGCATTGTGTTGTTGCTGCTAAAAGTTTTGGGTGTCTGTTGTTGAACTTATGTTGGTGCATCACTTGCCAGCTGGTCAGCTCTTTCATTACCATTTACTCCTGCATGCCCACTGTAGATCCAAGAGATACAGGTTAACTGCAACTTCTGAATGCCTTCTACCAATTTGGAGTGTAGACTACCCGTTTTTCATTTTAGAGTGAGGAGATATTCCAATGGGTTCACTTTCCCTTTTTAAGAAAACACAATTTTGAATAAATGTTACCAGGGTGACAGGAACTTGTTTCTGTTGTAGACGCTTATGTTTGTCGTGTATGGGTCTGTCCTTTACCTTTTGTTGACAACTTTTAGTGATGAGCAGTCAGCTTATTCAGGTAGAGACTGTGCCAGTTTTATACTGGTTGAAATGTTATTTAACTTTTGCATCATATTTGATTAAACGACTCTCATTTCAGAAAATGTGGCGAGAGAACTTTGAGGAGTTTAAAAAGAGAGTTACACGGACGGTACGAAAGAGTATTGAAGAATTATGATGCCTCTTCCTATTGTTAAAATGTGAGTAATGTATCGTCATCATGACTTAGGCAATCATGTCGCTCTGCAAATCTTGTTTCTTTTTGAAATGCTATCTTTTCCTGGCACATCCTACTCTTAATTTCTGCCTCACACCTTAAATCTGCAAATGCTTATTCGGCATCAGAATGTGTTTAACATGGGATGTACTGTGGCTGTACAGTAGTAAATATATGTAAGGGGGGGGGGGTATTATGAATGTTGACTTATTAAAGTTTTACTAAAATTGGATGTGGGGCCAAAAGCTGCAGACGTCGCAGCCTACCTGTAAAACACAATACCCTGTCTGGCACCCTTTTAAGGGTGAATTAGTTCAATTAGTCCACAGATTATCCTCATTGCACATGGAACCATTCAGTCCGTACGTGCTTGGATCCCCTCCTTAGTAAATCCTGCAGTGTGTAGCAACTCACAACACTTCTGTGTTGGTTTCTTATTCATTGGCTTCCTGTATGGTGCTCTTATCTGGCCACACCCCTTTTAATCTGTTGTTCTTGCAGTCTGATCATTAGGCGAATAAGAAAATGTTAATCAGGTGTCATGTCAGGGGAACGAATCACCCAGCAGTGTCTTTAGCACCCTTGTTATTTCATAGGTTTCTTACGATCTACAAAATTATTAATTTCTTGTCCTAGTATGGGTAACGAATGACTTTGTGATTATTATTTTTTTTCAGTACTTTGATTTTAGTTGTTGATTTGGGAAGAGGGAGGATGTAAAGTAAAGAAGCAAAGGTGTTCAAACAAACACGCTACGACAGATAGTGTTGGGGAGAACCAGTATTGAACTTTATAGGTAGACAACAAATTAATGTTGACAGAGCCCGAGATGGACTGCAGAAATATCCAAGACACTGAAAAGTACTTTATGGTGTTAGTGTTGTTGTCCATAAAGATGATGATGACCACTCTTTTTCATCAAGTATGAGTACAAAGATGACTGATGAGGCAGATGCGGGCCCGAAAAGTTCTTGGACAGTGAGAACAGGGAATAAGCGTTGTGCCAGGGAGAGATATATATAAAGCAAACAGAAGGACCTGTTCCAGATATCTCTTCCTGCCCCGAGGCCGTGAGGCATATCAGGAGTAAAAAAAATTAGGGGGGGGGGGTGTGGACCGACTAGATTTTTCGGGGAAATGGTACCATTTTAGTCTGCTTGGCTCCTGGTCACACCCAACATAAAATGGACACTGGGTAAAGTCTTTGGAAGTAAAGGCAGCCAGTGCGATGTTGTCTACATCACCCACAGAGTGCCGATTGGTCTACAAAATGCAGGTCTAGCTCTATATGTTAAACACACCTAAGAACCTGGAAAAGGGTCACTTGCTTTTACATATATTCTGTATAATCATAAGGGGATAATAATTGAATGGTAGTTACTAGAATTTTACATTTAGAGTGTCCATTGATACTTTATATTCCCTACGTGGATGATACTGTATATTTCCTACATGGCTGATACTCTATATTCTCTGCATGGATGATACTCTATATTCCCTACATGGATGATACTCTATATTCCATGTGTGAATTCCAGTTTAGGGGAACAAGGATAGACTCGCTGCAGCACCCCTACCCAAAGACATATCATAAAAGGTGAATAACTAGGAGTGTTTCCGTCAAACTGAACCTACCTGAGAGGTCAGGAACCAACAGTCTGCATTTAAACAAGCCAAATCTGTAAAATGAATGTGCACGCAGAACTCAAGTTCTTGAACAAAATCAAAGTCTAGAAGTGGATGAACAACCAGAGTTTTCTAAGTTTACAGCCAGTGAGCGCTAAGAAAAAGATACTTAATATCTTCTTTTTCACGTACAGTTTTACCGCTTCCGGTGTTGAGGGAGATATAAGATCCTGCTTCGTGCTCTTCTGGCTGCATCGTGGTGCTGTAGAGTTTCTCTGATGTTCTCTTCCCATCTTGTTCTTGGTTTATCTCTTGCTCTACGTCCCTCTCCTGTTTTGGTGTATGCCTTGTATGTTATATCATCAGGAGGCATTCTCTCCAAGTGGGCAAACCATTTGATTTGCTGTCTTTGTATGTAATTTAGAATTGCTTCTGTGTCAACTGTATCTCGTATGACCTCATTCCTGATTTTATCCCATCTGGTCACTCCTACCGTCTTTCTCATCAGTCCTTTTATATCTCATTGTACTTGTTGTAAACAGTGTTTAGCACCGACCATTTCCTACACTTGAACGTGAACAGGTCAGTCACATATTATTGCCCTTTATTTAATATTTGAACCATTTGTCTTTATATTTAATCAGCTTGTTCTCTTTTCTGTCCATTTCAGCGAAGTCCCTCCTGGTTTAACTGAGAAACCACCTTGAACCGGCAGCATCAGCCAGTCTGGATTTTAAAAAAAACAAGACTAGCAAGCAGATCCTGTATCGACCTGGATGCCTTGTTTGAAGTCAACTCTGAATTTGAACACCTGTTTTCTGTTTTCTCAAACCTAACCCCATTCATGCTTTGATAAATATCTTTGATAGAGTGAAAGACTGATACCGTTGTACCTCTGGCGTAGTGCTGTAAAATATGACCTGTTGTTGTGTGCGTCTGGTATGCTTGAAGTTTTGTGTGTGGTTCCTGAAGTGAGTGTGGTATTTATATCCACTAAAGTTAACATAATAGGCCCTGTTCATATCTTGTGATGTCAAGTTTGTACTTTCAGAAGTATCCTTTGATTTAATTTTCATTAATTACCTCTGATGTTGGACAAATTTATAAGAATCTAATGTAATTTGGAGTTTTCCTGTTTGATTTCAACCAGTTTTTCTATTAAGTAATCTATTGTAGTGTGTGTGAATTTATTGCAATGCTAAAAAATGTAAACGCAAACTGGTCCTTGAGATGCATGAAATTAGCCTAAGAATATGTTTCTGCTTCTGAGCTTTGAGTATTTTTTCTTTTTGTTTCTACTAACACTTTGTTGTTATTAGCATGTGATTAGCTTTTTCCATGAATCCTAGCCATCAGGTTGTGTGTTGTTCTCTTCTTACTTTTGGTCAAGGCATACTTAGAAAATCTGGCACTGACCACTACTGCTATATTTAGTTTTCTTTAAAGTAGTGCTTTTTTCCCCCCCCCCCCCCTTCTTTTTTTTTTATTTTTTGCCACTCGTTTTTCCCTTTGGTCAACAGTAGAACCTCCTGGGGCTTCCTTTAAATGTTAACTCAGAAATTGTCAAAACAGATTTCTGTGTGTCCTCAAATTTCTCTGACTTTAGCAGCTTAAAGTTACACTCAAACATTGCCAGCAGCATTTGTGTTTCAGAAGTTACTCCCAGACACTGACAGTAGCATTTCTAATCCAAATTTACTCCTAAAACAGGGGTTCGAATACTTTATTATAATTCCAGTTTCTGTAGCATTAGGCTAACATTTGGTTTCTGGGATGGCTAGTGCATGTTGATAAAGATTTTTCTTTTGCAAATTAAGATATGAATTGTGTTTTCCTATTTAATTTTTTTTCTTCAAATCTAGAGATTTTCTCACAACATTTCAGCTGCAGTAACCATCCCACGCCGCCTTTTTTTCATTTGTAAAGTATTAACTTTACTGGCTTTAAACAGATGTAATTTCTGTTGTTATTTCTGCCCCTCCCCACTGTGACTTCTATCTCCTCCCCTAAAAGAAAATGGATACATATTTGAATAATCTACTATGCATGATGTTTGTGTGAGAGCGGCAACGAAATATTTGAAATTGATGGTTGATCACGTTTACTTATGTAACATTGAGTCATTGAAATATTCTTTGTGGGTTGATCATTCACTTTGTCTGGTTCTGTATTACGTGTGTGTGTTGTGGGATGAATTTGTATAGTTTCTTCTGAGTAGGATGTGATTTTGTAATGTATGTGCATTTTAAGGGCTGTAAATTATGGGGTGAGATCTGGCCTGGGGATAGAGAATGTGACTTTAAAGTTCTTCCTGACTTTTGGCTGTAGAATACGGGGTATCAGTCTAGACCCACCTTTTAGTTAAGGCTGTGGGATATGGGGTATCAAGCCCATAATAAAATTATAAACCAGATCCACTTGCTGGCTATGGCTGTATATGTGAGAAAAAAAGTAAACATTGACTTCCCACCCCCTGCATTAGACTGACTGCACCACCTCCCTCTCCTGAGATATAGAATATAGAGTGTATGATTTCCAATCCATATTTAATTTGTTCATATCAGGAGAATAAAGTCCTCACACACATTTATTATAAATTACTCTCTGGAGATTTTGGGATCTCTTTAATGCAGAATTTAAGAAAGAGGTATCAGGCTCTGAAATTAAATGGGTTACTGCATCTCACAGTATATACCTTCTGTGTCTGCCAAAAGCTCTTTGTCGGTCACACCCCAGTTGCATTATCTGGCTTCATTTGAGTTCAGGACCAACATTAATGCTTCAGGACATTCACATAAGTGCTCTGTCCGATCTTCAGCAGCCAGCAGAGAGTTCCAGTTTCCATAGTGCCAGTAGTAGTCTGTTTGTTTTGCCTTTCCGTGTTGGCCAGATTCCCCTGGTGACTCCTGACTGCACTTATTCTATTCAGACCATGATGATCAATTTGTTTCTGCATTGTTCATTTGATCCCAGAGGCCCTTGATAACATCTAACTTGTCATGCATCTGGCATGCTATTTGTAAATCTTTAACATGCAAGCCAGGATAGGGGTATTGACTTTTCTAGTGTGGGGGGGACGTTGCTTACAATTAAGACACAACTTCAGTCAGGGCATTTACAACTTTGCAGTCACGTCATTTACAACTTCACAGTCAGGCCATTTACAACTTTGCAGTCAGGCTAATTTACAAATTCACAGTCTGGCCATTTACAGTTTCACTGATCAAAATCAGTTGAAAAAAAAGGGGTCTCCTGGGTCGAGTCATTTGCCTCACATACTGGAGGTTGTGGGTCTGTCTGCATCATTCGGTCCACGAGTTCAGTTTTTACGGGGA